TTATCGTTGTTACTAGTAACAACGGGGGGTCGTACCTGGTTGAGTTTATAGGAGGGGGTCGTATCCGCTTCAGTCGCGTGAAAGTACATGTGAGTTTGTGGTGAAAGTGGAGTTTTCACGAGTAGTAGGCTAGGTGAGTTGGGAGCGCATGGGAGAAAAATTCGCCGTTTCAGCGTGCGTATATACCCCCCCGCTCGACGGCATTTTTGGAGGAAAAAGTGGGCGGAGTTTGGTGGGTTGAGTGGTACCAGAATTAAATACTATAGAGAGGATGATGGTGGTCGAGGTGTCGAAAAGGGGGTCGTATCAAATCCACCTTGGGGGAGGGGGGTCGTAAAAATTTTGAAAAAGAAAAGTAACAACGATAGGACTGACCCTGTTTGGAGGACTCCTGGTTGGGATCAACGCTACAGCTGTGGGCAGGAACTATCACACCAGAACGTCCCCTGTGTGTGCCACTCCAAAAGGTCAAATACCAAGAAGAAAGGTTATCTCTTCGTTCATCCAGACCATCCTCAACCTGATCCTGGCGCTTTTCTTTCTTCATATTTGTAAGATGACTTCACGGAATTGGCTGAATCATGCGTCACTGAACTATTAACAGCTCATTGGACACACTTCAAGTGGGAGAACTGGAAACAGCAGGACGCATCCGCAACGAAAAAAAAACCGAAGCAGCAGTAGCAGCAGCAAAGGACGATGACCACTTCTTCTACCAATGACAGATAAGCGAATGTTGACAGCTGCCACTGTTCGGTTTTCTGCGCACTGATTTGATACAGCAATCAGTCAACGATAACGAGGTTATCAACTGTCGCTCACCGATGCACTTATATCTCTATTTCAGTTGTAAATACCGAAAAACGATCAGTGTGTTAAATCATTTGGAGCGCCACGTAATTTTTCGGGAAATCAAAAAATTCAAAACAAGAACGAAGCTGACGAGGGTTATGACAACAACTGCTTGTGATCATCCCTTCCAAAAAAGCGTCAGAAAGTGACGCGTTAAGTCCAGCATTTCGTTACTAGGCAGTGGTGGTGTGGTGGGAAGTGGCCTCAATTTCCACGCGTACGGTACGGGAACCCAATCTCGGATCGAATCTCGCCCAGGACAACCAAGCCTTACAGCTCATATCTCGAAGTCAGATTAGGCGTGTCTACGGATTTGACGTGGCCGTCGCCGCACTTGATAGAAGTTGCGCGGATAAGCTGCTTCCAGCATGCTTTGCTGATATCCAGCGAGTATGTTAGAAACAGCTTATCCACACGGCTTCTATCAAGTGCGGCGGCGGCCACGTCAAATCCAGACACGCCTAATCAGACTTCGAGATATCGAGGTTATATGTTCCTCTGAAGTCCGATAGCTGGTACAAGACCTGTCTGAGAGATAAAACCACCACCTTTCAAACGAAATGGCCACGCCCCGCCCTGCAATGTTCAATGCCGTTATTCAAGTCCACTGAACGTCACGCAATTCTACAACGGAGGTATAGTTTTCGCTGCCAGCATTCGGCCAATACGGGATTGAGCAACGATACTTTATACCTGCTCTGCATTCTCCCCTCGAGATTGGCCTTGTCCCGTCTCACTGTCGCGCTCACATGCTCTCTTTATCGTAGCAATTTCGCCCTATGAAAAAATGACAGAAACTCTCAATTTGCTGTTTTCCGATGCAGATATGCCTTTGCATTTTCTCGCTTCTGTCCGCTCTTGCAGTCTCTGTTTCTTATTTTTTATTCTGCAACGTACCACACGTGCATTTGGAATCGTGAGGAGTGATGGTCTTCTAAAATCGGGTGATAACGCGAATTTCGATAGTTATAGATGCTAAAAACGAAAAATGATTTGATTTACGCTCACAGGCTCGAAGTTTCAGCTCCCGTGCGCAAATCGACAATTCTCACCAAATGCGCACATTTTCGATTCAAGCCAAGCCTGACACATCACTGTCTTGTACGAATCTGGATTCGCCGCTTTTTTACCAGTCGCTGAGCGACCATTGTGCCTGAATAGATTATACGTAAATCACCAATTAATGCGTAGATGTATTAGTTCATCTCATCAAAATGTCCATACGGTTTTTATTCGAATAAAAATGAAAAAGCAGTGAAGAATAAAGAGTCTAACATGTTGGTGCCTCAAGTCAATGCTTGATCCTTGGCCATTTATTAACGGCGCGATCCCAGCGTCCTAGTACAAGACACACAATACCCACGCCGCGTGTTTCATCTTCAACAAACTGTAGACAAGATATGCATTGTCCGATGTCGGTACAGAATGATAGTGAATCGTCGGTATGCGCTTTGCCTAAGCTGGGTAGACTGCGATTCAGTTTGCCAAAACAGCTGAGGTCGCATGGCTGCAGTTGGGAAAATACGGCTGATAAGAAGAGGGCCACAATATCCGTTTGATCGAAATACCCGTGAGCAATATGAGCTATGTAGGGTCTGGTATCGACATAGGTGATGATATCGTTATTGTAGTTTTATACTGCTATTCCTTTGTCAATTTGTTCGCTAAGAAACAAGCCAAACTTGAGAAACGCCGGAGGTTTTTTCCCGACAGAGCCATTTAAGAGGCACATCTCAGAAATCCATCGCCATAATAATCATCCACGTGAACCCACGTGACTTCTCGTGATCCAATTCGGGCAGTTCCTCATTCGCGTTAATCCAAAGTTGACACTTCTGACTTGGCCTCAGGTACAATTACACACAAATTTCGTTTATGAGCAGGGTCCAGTTTGATAGTCTTAAATGCCGTTATCGGCAGAGAAAATCATTGCTACAGACACCAATTCGATTCTGGACTCCTGCATCTGGGAGTAAATGGGATATCCAAAAACATGTTCTGTGGACCATCCCCAATTTTTGGGCACAATTTGCGTAACAGGTGCAGCTAGACTGCAAGTCTCGTGGGCAAACATCGCAAAGGTTCAACATCTGTGATGCGCCATTTGAAACCTCATTTCATCCACCCGCTCTTCTTGGGCAAGGTGGACAATATGAACGCGTCCTCAACCACAAACTCGGGCAACTCGTTTTTCCGTGTCTCACTTCTGTTTGAGCTCTCGACACGCGCCCAATTCTTCCCCATAGCACACTCGAGAACATCAGTGACCACCGTAAGTTGAGCCAGCTACACAGAGAAATTCGCCGTTGCCGAATTTCCCGGTGTGTCACCAGTCGATCTTTGAATTCCGCCTTCCATTTTGGTTCACTTATGCAGTTCTTTTATGGTGGTTCTCCGGTGTTTCCCTCTGTATCCTTCCTGCGGCACTACAAACTTAATTAGGGTATACCGTAGCTAGGTGTGCTAGCTTCAAAAGCAAAAGCAAGCAGAATGCTCTAGCTCTTTTACTTTTCCCACCATTTCTCTAATGTCTGGACATGTTTGAATGAGATGACCTAATATATTCCTTAGCATAAGCGGATTTAAAGGAGGACTGGCACAAAAGCGATGCCTTTTTTCAGGTTATTGTGTAGGCTATGGACAGGTGTCTGTCGGTATTTGCCGTTATGAGCGCGTGTGCCCGGCCGGTCACATGTGGCGGTCGACTCTATAGCTCTGATCTTCAGAGAAATTTTCAAATACCGAAGGGAAAGACTTCATATTCCATAGTTTCCCAACCACTCTTAAGCTGGGACAGAGACCAAACTTTGAAAAATGAAGAAAATCAGGATCGCAAGATTCCCTAATCAAAACGCAAACGGGACCGAGCAGCTGGCGCACGGATCAATGGATCCATAACCATGATCCAAGATTACGGTGGCGCCACCTTAGCCGCAGTTCAATGGAACCACCCAAAGGCAATAATTTGGATCGAGAAACAATTGACTACTGTAAAATTCAAAACGCATTCGTGACCTTCGAAACCCGTGACCGCTCTGTGAGACGTGGAGTATCAATGAGGAACAAGTCATTAAAAAGCAATATTCATATCATAAATGTATTTTCAGACAACTGTAGTGCTACGACTAGGGGTGCTATTAAGCACGTGCATGTTTGGGTATTCAAATCCCGGTTCAAATCTCGCCCAAGCTAACCACGATTTCTATCCTGCCGGCCAGGTTAGTCAGTTGGTAGCAGTTTAGCCCAGAATGACAAACAAACACACTGTCTGGTGCATCGGTCGTTTCCGAAATTCATGAAACATTTTAAATCGCATACAAAAGCCCCTACGAATGAAAGTAGAGTGCGTGGCGCATCCGGAAAAAAATTAACTGATCAACGCCAAATGCTTTTCATTTAACCCCTCTTAGGCTCTGACTACCATAAATGTTGCAAAGTAATGGAACAAAATGAAAGTTTGCACTTTAATTTTGTTTTCCGTCATCAGGAACGGCGCAATTTATTATTTAGCCGTTCATGTGCCATCCATCACCCCAACTGACTTCTTAAACCGGTTAATCCAAGTGACGAAGTTCAGCGGATTGCCCTACTGCTAAAGTGCGCTTTCGAGGTGTAAACTGACAAACATCACTTCACTTTTTCGTGCACTTTCGCAAAGTTCATTTTTCAACGACAGAATAAAAACACTAGCTGAGATCTTGCAATATCCAGCAAAAATCTCGCCAAACATCCGTGAACACACTCAGAACAGCTTTTTATTCCGCCATACGAGAACTCAAGAGGGAGTTCGTGAAAGTGATGCAAAAATTGAGTTTTCGCGTCTTTCGAACGGGTAGTTCTGAACTTCTAACTGTAGGGGTGGAAAAGGCTCGAAAAGACCACTGTCCCCAGGGTGTTGGATACACCTTGCACCCAACGCCGACAAAGGAAGGTGCATTTAGACGCTCGCTTAATTCTACACAGGGTCAACCCTATGTTGCTACAAGTAGCAACGGGGGGTCGTATTTTGATGAGTTTGTAGAGGGGGGTCGTACTTGCTTCGGTTGTAAGAAGTTGCATGTGATGAGTGGGGAGCGGCGCGGGAGAAAATTTGCCGTTTCAGCGCGCGTATATACCCCCTAGAAAATGGAGCAGTTGAAATATGGGTAAAATACATGGAAATTGTAGGGAAATGTAGGGAATTTTTGCGGTATATACCCCCCCCCCCCCGCTCGACGGTAATTTTTTGGGGTAAAAATTGTTTTGAAAGAGGGGGTCGTATGAAACATTTCATGAGGGGGGTCGTAAAAACTTTTGAAAAAGTAAACGATAGGATGAGCAACCGTGAAGGGGTGGCCCTGATTCTACAATAGCTAATCGCTCGAATTGTGGTTTATCACACACCAATATGTAAAGCTGCGGAAACGAACGGGTACTGACCTTGCACTGTAAGTTTACAGAAGTGATGAAACTTACTCCCTATTTTTTTTGGATGTTGACGACCCTTTTAAAACATTAACGATATGGGTGCTACCATTTTTTAGAGTCCTCGTCAGCTTGTATCACTTTTGTTTGAGTGCTTCTCGAAGCACAGTGGCCACCTGAAACGCATGGCATCTTGCGCAGTTTTCACCTTGGTGAAAGCATGCAAGCTCTTGTAGTGTAGGCCTGGGATGCAACTGCCAGTCTAAGGGCGCGCTGCGAGCGTATAATACAACCCGCGTAAGAGCGGAAGTCAACACGGACTCTCTCCCGCCAGAATCGGGACACGCCATTTCAAGCACCGTAGTCCAAGATTTAACCTTGAACTCTGGGAAGATCAACTTATTGAGGCTGGATGAAACGGGGAATAAGGCAGGCAAACTTAGAGACTTTTGGAAGTCAAAGAATGCCAGGAGTAGTAAACAATTTTTGAGATTGTGGGTCTTTTACCACTTGCACGAGACCAAGAAAGTTTGCGGCGCGTCCCTAGTCGTCAGCTTGACCAATTTTGCCAACGGTTTTTCAAATATTTGAGTCCCCGTGAACCTAGGGCTATTTTAGGAGCGAAACAAAAACAGTGAAACCTACTGATTATTATTGTAATGATGCGTGTTGTCGTGAGCGTACGGCATCTCGTAATCCAATGTTAATGATCCGCCGCCAATCGATACAAATGGTGGGAATTGTTGAGGATGATGTTGTTGTTGCTGAACGGACGATAGTGGTACTGCTGCTGTTGCTGTTGCTGCTGCTGGAGTCACTGCTCCTGCTACTCCTGTCGTTGGTGTTGGTGGTGGAGGTGGTACTGCTACAGGTGATGGTGGCACTACTGCTCCTCCCGCCGTCGACGACGCACCAACAGATGTCAAATTCGCGTTAAGTGGTCCTAAAGCGTATGCAAAGGCCTAACCCAAAAAGCGCACTCTGAAAAACTACCACTACTCAGCAAAAAAATCAGAAAAAATTTGGTTAAATAATAGTGGAAAGTGCGAACCAAGATATCAAATCAGTTAATACTCAACAGGAAAAAATGCGTAGCAGTGAACGGTGGAAGTGGCAATGAAATCCGTTCCAGGGAAGTAGCAGCGGAAAAGGAGTCAAGTATTACTGCGAGGTAACCGCGACGCGACAGCGCGCATTACTCAACTTTCTTTTCAAGGGCAGAAATAACTATAAAATGGTGAAGCTCATAGCTCCACCGATAGACAAGCCAGATAGAAAGTAAAATTCAAAAAAAGCCAGAAAAAAGTCAAATTATGACGAAGCTAATTTTTGAATTGAAACTAATTTTCCTGCAGTTTTAGTGCTTTTTTTATTGGCAATACTTGAAACCTGGGTGGCACGGGAAAAACATTATAATTGACGCCAAAACGGAGGCTTCGCTATGAAGGTCCGAATCGGTAATCGCTTCAAACATATAATAAAATTGAAATTCTTAAGTTTTCTTGCTAAAATGGACCACGTGGGCACCCAAAAGAAAAATAGGTATTGGTTCCCGAGAAGAAAGTCGATCTAAGTTGCCGAAGGAGTGACAGAGCTTACAAGCTGTATGCATACACTAACTCCCGTCAAAGTCTCCACGTAATTGCAGACTTAATGACATGCGCGATGATGACCTCAAAAAATCGATATCATATCATGCATTGTTTGTGTTGTTTTACTATTGTCACGAAATTATTCCGGGAAGAATTTATTCTGGCCAACATTTCGGTCGTCCTGACAGGTGAATGTGGAGCTCCGCTGCACTTTGCGGTGAAAACTGGGCCTTTGGAAAGAAAGGGACGGTCCAAACGTTGGCCGTATCTTTTTTGATGCTCTTGATGTCTTGTGATGCCACAGGTACCGACTATGAGGTCCCCATTAGCAGTAGCAACTAGACACATATGGATTCTCAGATGCTTAAAGGACAGGATAATGGAAGAAAAACGGAAAACACCCTGTTTTATGGGAACTGAGCCGATTTCGCTCAGTGCATGTCCACGGTAAACAGAAAACACCACATATGTGACTAATAAAAAGTGCAATTTACATTTCAATCATTCTGAAACGACTCCATGGTCGCATCTGATGAATGTGAAATTGAATGGATGAAAGAACAATTCATGGAAATCTTTCAGAAAACACCAGAGATGTTTTATGATGTGCACTTTCGATAACCGGCAAGTAGAAGTTGAAACAGGATGCCTATACTGTTCTATGCTATTAATCAAAGTCAATGAGACCATTAAAATTAGCCAAATATATAATAGTAGCCAAACAGCCATAGTTACAAAATGCATGAGACAATCAGCCTCAGCCAGCTCACCTCCCCCCTCCTTCACACAAAAAATCTTCGGAAAAAGGGTAGTGAAATAAGTGGTTATTCTCTACACTGACCTTCTGCCGTTTACACCTACTGATGCGAACTTCAAAGACACACCTAACGACGAGTTAGGGAGATCAATTCCTTAGATGGAAGAGAAATAGCTGATCGTTTCGGTCGCAGATGTCCCATTGCCCTGGCTCAGAATGCGCGAGATGAGCGCAAAGGCCTTTCCCAGACCGCTTCGACCGCTTCCATACTTCTTAATTCAGATCATGCAATGCCTAAGCCCTTCATCCGTTTTGCTTTCTTGCCTACCCTCTCTTCTCCGTGCTCGCTGTCTCATTGCCTTTGCACAGTCAAATTCGGTGAACTTTTGAGCCCTTAATTTTGGCGTTTCAACGAATTCTTATCTTCCTTCACTACCGATCCCTTCGCTTCTGGTTTCGTTTCGTCTGCAAGAACGGCATCAGCTTGCACGTGGGGTTCATCTTTGAGACGTGCATTCCCCGGCTCATCACGTCTCATCTCATCCTGACTACAACCACCAATTGTGTAGCTCCACTTCCACGGGTTGAGCTCATGCTTTTTCTCCAATGTCTCGCCAGAAACTTTTGGTTCCAGATGAATTTTACGGCCTAACTCCCTTAATGCATGCGAGCACCACCACGATTCACCGTAATTCTACCACGGAAGGTCATATGGTTGGAGAGCAGCTCTCACGAACTTTTAGCCTCGTTTAGGCCTTCGACAAAAAACAATCGGGTCGAAGAAAGCTCACTAAAAGGCAAATTTCTTTCCTAAAAACATTGCTAACGCAAAAAAAACAACAAATTAGTAAAAATAGCATTTCTTCTGAAAAAAAGCTATTATAACCATGCGTATAGATCAATCAAAAGAGTATCTGAGGTGTCAATCTGAAGGATGAGCAGCTGTGATGACGAACTTCTAATAACATAAACCGAATAACAATAACATTGCAATCTCGTAACACCTTCAGTTGAACGGGAACATTATGGAGTCTTTCGGAATCAGAGGTGGACTTAAAGGAACAGAATTCCGTTTTCGAGAAGTTGCCAAAAAACGAGACTTCAGCAAGTTCGAGTGCCGGTCAGCGTCTTGGAAAACGGGCGACGTAAGAAGTGAGTTGCTAGACTGGACGACCATAAAAATGTAAGACTAGGAAGCACTAATGACGCTAAAATTTCGGACTTCCCAGCAGCTACTGTACTTTTGAGTGCCTGGCGAGATTGACTCAATATACATTGCCGCAAGCAAAAACTGAAATCGTCAAACCAGTCCGAAAGCTAACTCTTAAAAAAGCAAAGAGCACGAAATGAAATAAATGGCAAAGCTTGAGCCATTTGGAATTGGAGGATCGGACTACAAAGCATATCGAAGAATCCCATTTTTGCGATTAGGTGACCTAAGGACTTGCAAGGTAGAAAAAGTTCAGCAAGAAAGGTAGAACTATTATTAATTATGAACAGAAAAAATATAACGTCTGAGCATGGAAAGCAACCGTCCGGACATTCAATTTTCTTTTGCAGGCTTATGTGCGGAACGGTGGTGATCTGGCAACAACTGGCGTGAGTTACCACGCCCACGACAAAGGGCTCAATCCCGGGTCAACTCCACCCAAATCAATCAGCCCTTCTATAGATCCCAGATGCTTTTTCTTTTAGTTTTTATTTAGCGTGGTTCTACGTAAACGACTGGGAAGACAATAGACTATGTTTATTACTGATGCTTTTCCCACCGCTCAGGTGGACACATAGCGAAAACCATATGAGCTCAAAAAAGGGTGGGTCTGCCCGAAAAGCACGATCGAGACCCCTCTATGGCTCTACCATGGCTGCTTAGGAAGCCGTAGAATGGCCAGGGAGAAGAGCGAGGTTAAGGAGGGAGGGGGTACTTAAGGAGCACGATCACTGACAGAACACCGAGAAACACTTAAAAGGGCGACCTCAATAATGAATAAGTTCGTGCTTGCTGTATGAGCTATAAAAATAAATAAAAATACGGAAATGCGTAGAATGATCGAGACCTTCTTTACGGCTGTACTGGCTGCAAAGGAAGCCGTAGAGGCCACGGCAGAGAGGGTGAGGTGCTTAAGGGTGGTGGAAGGAGGGTGATTTGGGAGAATGAAACACCGACAAGAACAACCGAGAAACACCTAAAGGACGCCCTTGAACAACGTACAAGCTCGTGCTAATGTATGAAGGAGGAGGCAATGTGAAGGCAACAAATCTCTCAAAATGACGTGCTGAACTAGAGATTATTAACGACTTTGGAGTTGGAATCCCTCCTCCACATGTATAAACAGTATTAGTAATAGGAAAAGGGGAGGAAGGACGATCCATAGCACGGTTCTCTGGCTGATACTCGCACGCGACCATCGGGATTGGAATGAGTCTTATGAAAAACACGGAACTCCAAACATCCCTCGTCGATTACGGCTAAGTTCCACACGCGGAAACACAGACAGTCAACAGCTGGAGCAATTCCACACAGACAAGCCAATATCCGTCTAGGAATCCCTCTCTTATTAATCCCATCCAAATTGCTCTTGTGTACTTAATGACCTCACACATGTGCCATGACAACCCTTCCTTCTTTTCATTCCCATCCCTTCCGGCCAGCAATTAAACTTGTTAGGCGCTGTGAGAAAGCCAATAAACAGCAACCGAGTCTTCACGTCAGCTGAATCTTAAGAAAAACTATTCACAGTTGGGCGACTGTTGGGAGCCTTAGAAGGAAAAGGAGGGGAGGAAAACCCCAAGAAACCAGTCATTTTGTGATAGGCCGTGAAATCACCTCCCTCAGGAAATGCTAAGGCATCTAGAGAAGTTTTCTTACGTTATGAATTTGCGCTGCCCTTCCAGACACGGCAGTAGGCTGATGGCCCTGAACCAATCTATATGAATAAGAGATCTACCAGCCGGTAAAAAATTCAATCCTTTGGTCATAAATGTGTGATTGGCGATCCTAGCCACTGTACCACATCCGAGTTACCTTCGTACGCTCGTTCGGGAATATTCATTCAATGCATTAGCGCCCGTTAAGTGCCATACCATAAAGGTTATCAAAACAGCAGCAAGCCTATCAGCGCCCGTCGCGGCGCTAATGAATTAGCTTTCAGTGCGAACGTCCTGAATACGTCCTTTCCATGGTAACAGCCGGTGTTCAAGCACCTTCGCAATTTAAATAGGACACGCCATAAAAAACGGTGCTGTACCCTAATAGCACCTCTCACACATAGAATACAACACACGAATGTAGCTTACCAACCGAGGCCAGAACGGTTCGCCTTTTGCAGCACGAACAATTCGAAGAATTGCTATAATGTATGCTTAAAGTAAAATTATCATGTACAGATGCCAACTGAATACCTCATTCAAGCCTACTCTCCTACTTTCCAAACATTTCAACTTCATTATTTTGAAAGCCA